CAGTTCCACTACACAACACCACACCACACCAACGGGGCTACCGGCGTGGATGAACCGTACGGATACACCATACTCCCCATCTGGCACACCATACGCAGCAATTGCCCACTACATCCCTAGGTATGGGTCACAGGGTTTGATCATGATATTAGCAGGCGCCGATTACAATTCTACGAATCAGGAGCCTGGAAACCTTAGTATGGAAGTTGTCTGGTTTATCAACCCTGTCACAAAGAGGTGGTATTCACAGAAGACGATCGGGGAAGCGCCTTAGCCACGCAGGTGGGCTTGTGTAGTTGGTGTGCCGAGTCTAGACAACACGTACGATATGTAAGTGTCTGAAGACTTCACGGAGAGCCCTTCTTCAGGCTTCAGCTGATAGGTATGATGTGAAGTTTTGTTTTTGGCGGTTTGACCAATAATCGGGTGGGTTTCGGTGATGTCTGGATTTTGAGTCTGCCAGGTTTTGTTTGGATACAGGCGGATACCAAGCAGCAGGCACCCCGGGCTTACATGTCTTGCGTTGTCGCCGGAAGGCGTCAGATGATCACTATCGGGGGCGCTGAACCGCGTTCACTACAGGGAAAGCTGATGGAGAACCCCGATACATTCAATCAAGGCATAGGAGTTCTCGACTTGTGGTCACAGCAGTCCTCACATGGCAGCAGAAATCTTGCATCCGTACAATACGACACAGGCGTGGAGGACTTAATGAGTTCTTCTTTCAGTCTCGAACTACCGGGTCTTGGGAACGGAGCTGGTGGCGACGGTAACAGTACTAGCATGGGAGATCACCAGAACTCATTACATCCTGCTGCGATGGGCGGTATAGTTGGTGGTAGCATTTTAGCAGCTGCTGTAGCCGGTGCAGTCATTTTTCTGCTCATTAGGCGGCGAACGAGAAAACGCCAGTCTAGAAAACAGTCTGCCACTGAACCTGACTGCCCAGAGCTAGCGGCTGGGCAAAGGCTTCTTGAACTACATGGGAGAGACCCTCTTTATGATATCACGGAGCTCCACGGAGATCAAAGTAAAGTCGAGATGGACTCTCAAGACCCTCACCAGTGCGCGATAGAGCTTGAAGCAACTGAAAGAAGATGTACCACTGAGAAAAGATTGCGAGGGGGGCCAGAGCAGGACACAGAGATAAGCTTAGAGAACAGACGCCTATCGATCACCAAACGGCTGGCCACTTCGTTAGGGGGTATGACAAAACCTGTCCCTCGATCAGTCCCCCCCCGTCGTTGCGCCTTCACAGAATCAGCACGGCGAACCACGTTGGTGATCAGCTCAACCAAATTCCTGCCTGACTCGCATCACGTCGCTTACTCACGAAGCCTGTCGCAACATTGGGCCTCGCTTGTAACAGTTTCCAAGCCATCAGCTTTGGCCGCGAGGACATGACTGCGCAGTTGATTGATGAATGTAGTTATTTCATCTCACCATGGCCTCCCGGATGCTAGTGTGATAAAAAGCCTGGATTTAGTTACACACTGATTTAGTCCATGATTTTGTTAATTACTCTTTTTTGTCACTTTAAATCATTGCAGTCAGGTCGGTGAGACTGAATGTCATTTAATTGTCATTTCGTGGTTCTTCATGTTGATTGACAAATGCGCATGGTTCTTCGCACTCGTTGGACCCTAGCACCAATCCGCGGAGGAAAACTGATCGTCCCTGGCGTTCACCCCGCGGGTACCCCGCCAATCCGTGCACCGGCTACAGCGACAGCAGACAGACCGACCGGCAGATTTGCCCCCTCATCGTCGAGACCAATGCCATGTTCGCCATGCTTCATCGCCCTTGCCAAACCACATATTTCGCGCTCTCGATTTACATGCTATAGCCCGGTGACCATCCATGCATCAAAGCTTCCGTCTTTCGGTCGCAAAGTCGACAATCGATGGTGACGAGAGTTGCTTCTGCACACAGCTGTCAGCCAGACTCAGCAGTTCAGGACGACGAGCACCTCACTTAGCAAGTCAACTCTGCGGCATGTCTGTCTTCTTCAAGAGATGCTTCAATGACCAAGGGGGTTCCAGCGGTTCGCTTAGGTGAGTGGCGTGGGCTGACGGGAGGGGCGGGGGGTGCAATGTGCAGGTCGCCGAAAATCCGGGTGGATCATGCCGTACTTCGATTAATCGCCGTGTCGCGTGCGTATTCATGCGTTGAGACCGGTTTGGCCGGGACGTTGAGGGTCCAACTGAGCCATTAGCGGAGGGTTTCCACCAGACTTACCTTCCAACAAGTGTTCAATCGACCAAAAGCAATGACGCAACGCAGAAAACTGAGAGACTTGGACTCTATCACGTTGGACGCAGGCTAGAACAGGAAATCGATCGGGAGCTCGAAGAAGCGTTTCTTTCATGACCCATGTCGGACGGGAATCACTGGCGTAGCGTGGAGACAAGCGCAGAAATGGACGGGACATGCGGGACAGGCGCAGGCGAAGCGGACACATCGGAAGCGAAAGCGGTGGAGGTGGAATGCGAATGCCGACATGTCGCGCGAAGGGACGAGACGAGGCGGGACTGGAGGTGCTGGTGCTGGTGCTGGTGCTGGCACTAATTACGACGGGAATGTGGGGACGTGGCGACATGGCATGGCATGTTTGTGTGGTGTTTGGCGTGTTGCTGCAGCCGGGGGAGAGGTGTAACGACTTCGTCGACGAGGTGCATGCCGAGGTGGCTTCATCTTGGGGGCGGTTCGTGATGGCGGTTGGGGTGGTGGATGGGCGTGTATGTGCGATGCATCGTGGACAGACGGGCGATGTTTGAACAAGACAAACGAAATCAGGGCGAGATGCTGGGAATCACTTCGAAGAGCTCCGCTGAGAATTGTCGCGAGACGGGAGGCCGGGAAGGTGAGTAGGGATCCGCGTGGCTTATATGGAGTCGGACGATAGACGGGGTGGTGTGAGCTTCTCTGGTGGTGGTCGGTCAGAAGTGGCCTGCGTGTGGTCACTGTGGTGTGTCTGAGGTGGCTTTGGGCTGATTGCGCGCTGAGTGAGGGGCTTCAGGGGGGATCGCCAATCAGTTGCTCATCCGGCGCATCCCTCGCAAACAAACTCCAGTAGTGACACTCTGGCGGCTCGGCAGATCAGACATGGTTGAGGATTGGTGTGACGACGCTACGGGGAGGGCGACACGGAGAGTGATGAGGGATGCTGGACGAGAAATCACGTTATGCGCACCGCAGTTTCCTTATTGCAGTGGTCCAATTTGTTTGGTTGTCTGGTGTCTCAATCGGAAGGAGGCATCAGGTGAGGTGCGAGCCCGTCTGCTGTTTTGTGGTTCCACTGGCACGGCGTGACCCGTTGCGGTCGCCAGGTGCAGCTCCACTATCCAATGGATCCGTATTGCGCTGCGGAAACCGGTTCAGGGCTCGCTGCACCGATGGGCAGTGACATACGCCGACCCTACCCCCTGAGCTGAGCTGTGCTGAGCTTTTTCTCGGTCGGGAGCGAGATCTTGCATTCGAATCTTCCAAGAAAGAGACCCCAAGATGGATCTCGAGATGCTTCCTCTCCCCCTCCCCTCCCCTCCTCTGCCCTCCCACACAAGCACACACACCCCCAGCTCAGTAAACTCAGGTGTCAAGACTGACACGACGGGCAAAAGCAGTTCAACCAGCAAACGGCATAGCGTCATAGGGCCATCAGGGTGGGGCTCCTGCTGCTTCCCCAGATTTTTACCCCAGACTCTTCTCCCGTGTCGGAAACCGCACTAAAGCCGATTCATCGTCGACCCGTGGACCTTGGACGATGGCGCCAGGCGGTGCCTGCACCTGCACCTGTACCTGTACCAGCTCACATCCCACGCCGACTGCCGCCCCTGCGCCCATCGCAGCTTCCCGGTCCCCTCTTTCCACTTTCCACACGAGAGCAGCTGCAGTGACCACGCCTGGGCAAGAGGGTCCTCTGCTCCATGACGCGCCATGCCTGTTTCGGATGATCAGCCAACCAGACCACTCTTCCATGTCTCCTATCTACGGCAGTAGCAGAGGACAATCAGTCATTGCTCTTGCTGCAACAGCAACATTGGCAGTGGAAGGTACTTTCCCTGGCAGCTTCGGTAGCTCCTTCCTTCTGCTTTCCTCCTTTCCTAAGGCACCTAAGGCACCTAAGGTAGATACGGAGCCTTACCTTAGTAATACCTATGTAGGTAGGTGGAATGTCACTTCTTTCCCCTGCAGCTGTGGTGGCAGGTGACGGGTGGCCCGCCCTCGACGCCCGTGCCTTCCCTTCCCCTCGCCTCAGGTCGCCCGCGCATCTCATGAGCTTCCCAGTCACGCGATCGTCTGGCGGCGCCATTGATGGGCAGTTACCCCGCCCGGTCTGACGAAACCGTAATGCATCATCAATCTTAGCTGCTAGCTGCGGTACCTCTCTTCTCTTGCACACATCGCCTGCTCCCAATGTATCTGCACCAGCCATTCAGCCAGGCGACGGCCGATGCAGGGAGCTCTCTGCCTCGACACCCGACTCGTCCATGGGGGAACATGGACCGACTACGCACTCACCCACTGCAGTGACAGACCATTGACCATTGGCCATTGACCACTGCTCCTCCGTCTACGGATAGGTACCTTACCTCACCTTACCAGACGGGACCAGCCCTGGACAATGTTCCCCCTCTCCTCACGCCAGCTCCTGCTCCAAGCACCAGCTCAAGCACGGCCAGTCTCATCCAGGGCACAGCCAGGTCAGGTCAGGCGCCCCGTCCCGATCGACATCTATCTACCTCGTCCCTCCCCCTCACCTTCCTTTCCTTCTTATTCTCGTCCTCATCCCACTCATCAACCAACCATCCATCCATCAACCCAACCAGCTTCCAAAGGTACCCCTTCCTCCCCCTCCGAAGACAGTCAAGAGCTCCCGCCCTGCACACGAGCTTGACCTGTCACGCGAGATACACAGCTCAGGAGCTTACTTGAAACCTGCTGCCAGATACAATCACTCGATCATCTACATCTAGTCACACCACAAACACAACACCATCATGTCGGAACCACTTTCCAAAGTCGACTCTGCCGTCCAGGGCCTCGCTACCTCTCCTCCCAAGGAGAAGCGCAGACAGAGCTCTGCCGCCGCTCCTGGCGTCAAGAACGTCAACGACCTTGGTATGTCATTGCCCCGAAACCACCACTCTCCCATGACCCCGCACTTGCTCGGGTACCTCGGAGCACTGCTAACTTGTCATGTTCCTAAACAGAGGCAGAAGGCATTGATCTTCAAATAGCTATCGAGACACAGAAGACAGGATGGTAAGTCACCCTTATCATAATCGTGTCTCTCACGTCCCCAGCCACACCTGCAACAATGGCTGACAGTACCTCAACAGGAAGATCAACACCTCCCCCTCAACAATAGAGGAAAAGGAGATCCTCAAGAAGCACCTGACAGAACCCCCGGTCAAGAGAATTGACCTGCACTTCCCTCTCGGCATGGAAGTAACAGCAAGGAACCTGAAGGGCGTCACAATCAAGGACGCCATGGACGCCATCCACAAGGCATACAAGAAGAGGGTGAGCCATTACCCCGCAATATCCCTTTGACAAACACCACTGACATCATCCACAGTCCGACGATGAGCTTGACAAGCCCTACCTGATGGGCTTCGAGTGGGACAAGGAGGAGTCATGGACCCGCCTCGTCGTCCACCTGTCACCCAACTCGACACAGGCAATGTCCAGCGGCGGCAAGAAGAAGAAGAACAAGAAGGACGAGGAGTAATGAATTCTACGCCACTTTCCCGTATCTTGTCCAATACTTCCTGATCACAACACTGGCTTGCTTCGCTCTGGCTCGTATGGCGACTTGGCGCAATGGGATATTGCGATAGATATCGTCGGATGGGTTCATCGGTTCGGATCTCTTCTCTCAGGCTCGAAGCCTCGAGGTGTACTAGCTAGGAAATTCCGGGACGTCGACGGTGCCTCGGCGGGCTCGAGGTGGTAACAGCCTTGGGTCGCTTGAATAGACACGTTGACAGTCATGACACTCTCATTCGCTTGTGACTTGGGTGTATGTACGTCTGAATCCTGAGTTGTTGCAATATTGCAAAGAGAACATCTCTCCTGATCTCGTCAGCGTCGAGAAACGCATCTCGTCAATGGTGGGTGGATATGAGGGAGCTGTGCACCGGCTATCCTGCATCGTGACCCACTACCCGGGGAACTAGGGTCTGCCGTCCGAGCGGGCTGAGGATTGATCTATTTAGGTCGAACACTTTGTAGATGCTCAAGTATACTATTCTTGAAGCTTCAAATGGCCAAACCTCAGCTTCTTCTGCAATTCAGACATTTGCGTGAGCATCCAGCCCTAGCTGTGAGTTTCCGTGATCACTCACCGTTGACCCCTCATACGGTGACGCAAATGGCGGGGTAGTTGATGCTGTGTTAACATAGTCTCACTTACATGATGTGTAATGCTGTTAGTGTGGTACCCTTCCAGCTGTTGTCTGAGCCAAGCCAAACAATCCGTGCCGGACCTCAAAGATCCCAAGCTCCGGAAAGCCGTGGCCTCAGTCTACGGCATAGACCGTCTCCCTCGTCCGAAACCTCGAACGTCTGCACCCCTCAATCTCCCCCGTCATCAGTCAGCAATGTCTCCATTTCGGATCTGAACGGATACTGCCGATTTCCCCTCAGGCTCCTCCTCCGCCGCGGGGTGAGACGGGGCCAGGTCGCACGGCCCCCTCATGGAGCAATTGAACCCCCCAAACCCCAAAGGCAGCGGAAATTCGGAATTGAAAGGCCTAGTGAGAAGCACCACATCCGGCGGCCCCGGCTAACGTCGGCAGACGCCGCTTGACGCCGACTTTACGGTCCTTGGGACAACCGCGGAATCGAGAACAAGTTGTCGGCTTTGCGAGGGACGCAATTCCATCCAACGTCATCCAGAGCGAGTAACCCTATTCCGCCGCCGCAGTTGGGGGATGTCATATAGAACTTAAGCCATGGACCGATTTTCGTTCCATGCAGCGTCTTTGTTTCGACAATCCATCACATCGGCCACTGTTAGCTTCGACACATAGCTGCTTCGAAGCCGTTCGTCACAATGCCTGTCACAACATTTGATTTCAAGGAGAAGTACCGGTACCAGGTCGGCTTCGACTCTCATCTCGAGTGCGTATCCCCATCGCCTGACACCCAACGAAGAGGCCGTCCCCGTAGCTAACCTGCAACCTCTCTCCGCACACAGGTCCGAAGCCGTCCCCGGGTCCCTCCCGATCGGCCAAAATTCCCCGCAAAAGCCCCCCCACGGCCTCTATGCCGAGAAGCTCTCCGGGACCTCCTTCACGGCGCCCCGCCACGACATGAAGCAGGCCTGGCTCTACCGCATCCTGCCATCGTGCGCGCACCCGCCCTACGCGCCGACCACGACCCCGGAACCCAAGGCCGAGCCGTCGAAGCTGCGATACATCCCCAACCAGCTGCGCTGGGACCCCTTCGACCACGACGAGGCGCGCAGCTGGGACTTTGTCGAGGGCATGCGGCTCGTCGCCGGCGCGGGCGACCCTACCCTCAAGCAGGGCATCGGCATGTACGTCTACGCCGCCGGCCGCAGCATGGATACCAAGAGCGCCTTCTACTCCGCCGACGGCGACCTGCTCATCGTCCCGCAGGAGGGCGTGCTGGATATCCGCACCGAGCTGGGCTGGCTGCTCGTCCGCCCGCTCGAGATCGCCGTCATCCCGAGAGGCATCAAGTACCAGGTCCACCTGCCGAGTGGCCCCGCGAGGGGTTACGCGCTGGAGCTGTACCAGGGCCACTTCGTCCTGCCGGAGCTGGGCCCGATCGGCACCAACGGGCTGGCGAATGCGCGGGACTTCCAGGCACCGGTGGCGTGCTTCGACGAGGACTTTGGCGCGACGGCGCACGAGGGACCCAGCAGGTACGAGGTGCGGGTCAAGTTCAACAACGACTTCTTCAAGACGGAGCAGGCGCACAGCCCGTTCGACGTGGTGGCGTGGCACGGCAACTACTATCCCTACAAGTACGACCTGGGGCGCTTCAACACGATCGGGACCATCTCGTACGACCACCCGGACCCGTCCATCTTCACGGTGTTATCGGCGCCGAGCGGGGTGCCGGGCACGGCGATCGCGGACTTTGTCATCTTCCCGCCGCGGTGGCTGGTGGCCGAGGACACGTTCCGGCCGCCGTACTTCCACCGCAACACCATGTCGGAGTTCATGGGGCTGATCACGGGCGGGTACGACGCGAAGCGCGGGGGCTCCGGCGGGTTCGTGCCGGGCGGCGCGAGCTTGCACAACACGATGAGCGGGCACGGGCCGGACGCGGAGAGTGGGGAGGGGGCAAGGAACGCGGAGCTGAAGCCGGCCAAGGTGGGCGCCGGCAGCTGCGCGTTCATGTTTGAGAGCTGCGCGATGGTCGGGGTGACGGAGTGGGGACTGAGGACGTGTCAGAAGGTGCAGGAAAAGTATAATGAGGAGAGCTGGGGGGAGCTGCCGGTGCACTGGAAGAGGCCGCAGGGTGCCGACACGGAGGGGCACTTGTTGAAGTGAGGGAAAATGACGAGCGTGTCTTGGCTTGGAGAAAAACAGTACAAAGGTTCGAGGCAAAATATATTGGCGTTAACATCCAATCGTCGTTTGCTAGCTCTCGCAGAAGTGTGTTGTCCCTTGACACGATTTTGGGCTACAATGAGGTCCGTTCTTATTGACTGAGCCCTGAGGCTGACGGGTGCCCCAGATATTGAGAGGGAGGACTCTTTGAGAACTGGGTTCATGACCTATGACAATGCCATCTCCCCTAACCAGGGAAGTCAATATCTCTATCGAGGGTTTCATCAAGACAAGAGGGTAGCACGAGTGGAACAGGTCAAGGTTGAGCAGGTCACGACGCAGCGAAACTTCGCCGACATAGACCGAGACTTGATGTCGTCTAAAGAGCAATATAGCACTCAATGCTCTGGGATAGCCTGACCGGCTTCCCAGAGCATGAGAACAAACCAGCCCGTTTGCTGCTGTTGCGAGGCGATCTCATGATCCCGTTCAGGTTCTGGCCTGCGCTGAGGTGTGTCTTAAACCTTCGTGTTAGGGTCGGGCCGGAACGATCTCTGAAAGCACCTTGATTACCGGCCTTCTGCGTGGCGTGCGGCTGATATTTGACTGCCGCATTCAGCGACCAAAGTAGTACCACGTGGACGAAACCAATGTCAGCAAAACGGGACCATGCCCGCTGTCGGCAGTCAAATTCTACGTCAAGCTCCCATTGCGTTGTGGGCTCAGCTGGAAATTTCGATGTCATGAATGTTGGGCCATGTAGAAGGCAGTCCTTCTACCTTGGGGGCCTCTAAACCATTCGAGGCTGAGACAGTACCTGTGCCGTCCAGGGAAAAGATGCTGACGGTGCAGCTGCCGGCGACCGTTCTCATTTGAGGCAGCCCGAGTCTCTATGTGACCGAAAACGATGTCCGTGGCTACGTTGACTCGTATCATGGCACGCACCATTCCACTAAGGTTGACTAACAGCACGAGGACAGAGGGAGGAAACAATCCAACCTGAACCGTCGATGTAGTTGCGATGCCGCAGAGCTTTGATTGAAAAGTGGCTGGCTGAATGGGTGGGATTTTGTATATAGATACAAGAATGCTTGCCCTGATGTATGTTGCATACTTTCCAGGAAACACCAAGAAACTGCGCCAGTACCTCTTCCACACATTTTACCACATCCCGGCATCATGGCTATTCAGTCTAAGGAAGGTGAAGCGAGAATTGGGCATGTTCCTCACTCGTCTCTAGCGCATCGAATCGGTGGGTGGTTGCCTCATGATCCTACAATGATGCAGGATCATGTCAGGGAAATCCTCAACAGAGCGGAGGCTGCGGACTTGCCCACCGTCCCACCTATCGATGCCGTTCAGACTCTCATCGACACAAATCCCACTGTCTTCATGCTCTTCACAGAGATGTTGACAGAGGTGCCAACCAGACCTCCTTACGACACCATTCCAGGCGGCGGCCCAGAAATCAGAGAACTGCCTAAACTTATTCAAGCACTCAACTACCAGATCCAAACTCCAATCCTTTACAATGACTCCCCTCAAATCGGCACCCCTATCAACGCTATACTAGACTGGCCTATGGCCACGAAAGCTGGTTTTTCTGCATTTCTTCGCGACGATGTCAATCAGATTTTCAAAGAAATGTTGGTCTACTGGGGTCAGTTCCTTACCACGGACAAATCCGTCGAACCGGTGACGACTGCCGCAGGAGGCTGGCTTTCATCCCAGGCCCAGAGTGAAGAGACTGGATTGAAAGACTTCTTAAAGACATACATTGTCCCCGATCCCAAGGATCCTATTCATTACGGCTTCACTTCCTGGGACCAATTCTTCACCCGCGACTTCCAGGACGGCCTCAGGCCGCTCCCATCTCCTGACGACCTGAATGTCATCGTTAGCGCCCGCGAGTCAACTCCCTTCTTTATTCAGAACAATGTCCAGCTTCGCGATACCTTTTGGGTCAAGAACGCCGACAAGCGTTCGAACTACAGCCTAGCGGATATGCTTGGCGATGAGAACCTGGCCAACCAGTTCGTTGGTGGCACTGTCTATCAGGCATTTCTCAGTGCCGACAGCTATCACAATTGGCATGCTCCTGTTTCCGGCTCTTACGTTGGTACACCCAACATCATCAACGGTACATATTACTCAGAGCCTCTCATGTGGAGCTTCAGCCCGGACAAAGGCATCGGACGCCCGGACATCGGCGCGGACGAACTGTCACAAAGATACATCTCCGCCGTCGCCAAGCGTGGCGTCGCTGTCATCCAGGCCGATAATCCCGCTATCGGCCTTATGGCTGTAGTTATGATTGGCATGGCCGAGGTCTCCTCTATTGACTTCTTCGATAAGCCAACTTTTCAGAAGGGGGAAAAGATTGGTCGCTTCCACTTTGGCGGCTCAACTCATTGCCTAATCTTTGGACCTAACGTCAAGCTCTCCTTTAGCCCGGATGCAATCCCTGAGCCGAACATTCACCATCTAAGCCGTCGTCACGTTCCTGTTCGAAGCGCGCTTGCCACAGTCATTCCAAAGAGTTGAGAGTCAGGTGCTGTTGGTATTGCGTCAAGTTGGTACACTGAGGATGGTCGTTTCTAATTTCACGATTCTTGCTTTACCTGAAGCGAAATGGGCCGGGCATCACTCTTTTCTACCCGAGCTTCACTGAAACTGGAACTGATTGAGAGATATCTAATTGTTCATTATCTCTATTAACAGTAGTAAGTGTGTGGTCATTACTGAGGATCATATGCTACCCAAAACAAACAAAAACTTTCTATCCATGTCTAATCCCAGAAAAGCACAATCATAGCCTTGTGGTATATATCCCTTTCCCTTTAAGGCTTGCTAACCTGTTCCTTTCTAAAGAACTTGAAGTAACCAATGCAGATAAACAGGTTCAACAACAGAACCACCCAGAACCACGCACTCGCAAGCGCCACGCCGACACCCTCGCTGACGTCGGGGAAGACGGGCCCGGGACCGACGTTGTTGGGCGCCGTCGCACGCGCGAGCATGGTGAAGATTGATCCGACGACCTGCGCCGCGGCACAGGCAGCCGCGACGTGGACACGGGTGAGCGTCAGCATGAGAATCATACCGATACCCGCACCCTGGAGACCGTCGAGGACACCGAGCCAGAGCCAGAGAATACGGCTGAGGACGGCACCTGCGACGGCGCCGCCGGCCCAAGGCATCCAGACGCCGATGCGGGAGGTACCCCACCAAATCTGGGCCCAGCGGGGAGCACCGAGACCGACGGCGAACATGGGGAACAGCCAGGGGTGGCTGGCACTGGCCTTGGCCAGGCCCCAGAGGACGAAGGCCCAGACGAAGATGAAGAAGAAGAGGGCGAGGATGACCATGCTCCAGACGGGCACGTGCTGGGACGAGAAGAGGAAGAACCAGTTGCGGCCGAAGAGCGGGGAGAGGAAGTAGTTCTGGATGGCGACGGCGAGGAGGTACCAGGCGATGGTCTTGCGCCTGACCAGGGAGGCCCACAGCTTGGGCACGGGACCCGGGGACTCGCGGTAGAAATCGGGGAGACCGAGGTAGAGGAGCACGCCGACGGCCCACAGGAGCAGGCACACGGGAAGACAGATGCCGAGGAGGGCGGGGGAGCCGGCGAGAGTGGGCTTGGGCTGAGAGTTGGCCTCGGCCTCGGAGACGAGAGAACCCCAGGCCCAGAGACCGAGAGTGTACAGCTGGGTCAAGCCCTGAATGATGGCAAGACGCTGGATCCACTTGGGGACGGTAGAGCCGCCGTCGGTACCGAAGTTAAATGCGAACGCGAGAGATCCGGAGGCGGAGGCGAAGGCGTAGATGCCGGTGGCGACGTTCTGGAGCCAGATCTGAGTGTTGTTGTCCGCGGCGAAGGGGGAGCAGCCGAGGATCAGGAAGGCGATACCGTAGACGATGTAAGGCACCGAGAGCGGGTACAGAAGAGGCACGGTGCGGGACAGCGTGTACCAGACAAGGGAGCCAAAGAGGTAGATGGACGCGATGACGTAGAGCTTGGAAGCCGTCTGGCCGACCTCGCCGGTAAGAAGGGTGACCTGGTAGGAGTTGGTGGCGATGATCTGGTTGAGAGCCAGGAGCATCGCGTAGACGGGCCAATCGCCGACCTTGTACTGGAGGTACCTGGGTGATGTTAGTTTTGATACGGGGGAGCCAAAGGATGAGGACCTACTTCTTGACACCAGTGGGGGGGACGTAGTCGTCGGGAAGGGCGAACTGAGCGCGGTCATAGCCGGGGGAGTCGGGAGGAGTCTGGTCACCGTAGCCATCTGCGTTGGTGCTGTTCATCAGGTTGGAACGTCTGGCAGCGCGGCCGCGCTCCATGGGCAAGCTGAGCTTGGAGCTGGACAGGTTCTTGAGCATGCCGAGAGGGGATCTGGACGGGGAGCGGGTTCTAGACATGGATCGTCGTCCGGAGCCGGAGGGAGACGAGGGGCGCGAAGGACGACCCAGCCTGGCGTCGAGGTACATGTCGAACCACTCCTTTTCACTCTTCATCAGGTAGTCCTCGATACAGAGATCAGAAATGGAGTTTTGCGCGTTGAGGTTCTTGAGTCTCTCCTCGAATTCCTGGTAGAACTCGCCCTTTTGGTCGGTGAAGAAGGGGTCGACTTGCTGGAGCTTGTAGTCATGGCGGTCACCGACAACGTCCTCGACACTAAGCATGGAAGCACGGGAGGAGTTGTCGTGGATACCCAGAGCACCGCCTGGGGGAGGCAGAGGAAGCGTGTCGGCCATGGAGAAACCGGAGACGTTGCGGCTGTGGTTGTTGACATCGTGAGTGGAGAAACCAGAGTAGTTGCGAGAGTGAGTAAGCTCGTTGCCAGAGATGTTGCGGCTGTGAGGACCAGGAGAAGCAGCGCGAGAGCCACCGGGAGAGTCAACATAGGCGGGAGAAGGCGAGATGATGGGCGATCCAGGGGTGCTAGAGTAGTAACCGTGAGGAGTCTGCATGCCAGCGGGGGTGTTGCGTCCGGTGTTGAGAGTGGTGGCATCATCGTCGTAGTCGGAGACTTGTCTCATCCAGGCGGGGGAGCGGTCGACGAGCTCGACCTCCTCGCGGAGGCCGACGTTGGAGCTGGCGCGGCTGCGCTTGACGAGGACGTTACCCTTGCCGAGACCCTTCTTACCGTACTTGGCGTGAGACTTGATGCAGCCAGCCTGGAGCTTTTCGAGCTTCTCGAGCCACTCGGCGACAGGGAAACGTTGCTTGGCGGAGTAGGCACGCATCTCGGCACGAGTCTTGGTATCGGCCTTGAGAGCGGACTGGATGGCGTGTCTGAACTGCTTGGTAAGATGGGCCTGTGAAATTTGTTAGCGGCTTGTGGGTGGATAGATGGAATGATTGTTGACTTACAGCCTTGGTCGACTCGACCGTGAACCACCATCCGGGCATTTGACCGAGACCACCGACACGGGCACCAACACCCAAGGCTCCCTTTCTTCCGAACTCGACAGCAACCAAACCGAAGGGCTCATCTCTGGAGGGGATCAAGGCGAACTCGGCACCACTGAAGATGTAGGGCGGGAGAGCAGTAAACTCGGGCTTGGAGAAGACACGTCCGGGGTAGAGTTCCATGAGCTTGCTCAACTTCAGGGCAGCGAACTTGCCGTAGAGATCAATAACGGGACCAATGGTAATCAGTTGAACCTTGGGGTTGGTTTCGAGGACAGAGGGGAACACATCAGCAATAAGATCAACCTAGAAGATGTCAGCAAAGTTTCCGAGCCAGTAGACCGATTCATGACTTACGCCCTTTTGCAGAGACCAACGACCGACGAAGACGAAAAGCTCGGCTTCAGGGTCGACCTTCAGGCCGGCCCATTCCTGGGCCTGTCTACGGAGATCACCACGGCTGGCTTCCCACGCGGGGTCGACCTCGGGCTTCTTCTGCTTCATGAAATCCTCCTTGTCCCAGTCGGCGGTATCCGTGGGGTCGGGGTTGGGCAGCTGGCCGATCTTGGAGAGACCCCAGAAGATGGGGTAACGGGCGAACGAACGGTCACCGTACTTCTTGGAGACACCGACAGCGCCGAAGCCGTTCTGGTGGATGCGGAGGTAACTGGCGGAAGCGTGGAGAAGGTTGAAAACTGCGTGATATTAGTGATCTGATTGGCAACCCGCCGGGGCGAATGCATGCTTACCTGAACCGTACTGGACGTACTTCTTGATGGTCTCAAGATCCAAGTTGTACGCCTTAGAAACCTCCTTGCTCTCCTCGGGTGTGCGCATGGGCCAGAGACCCTGGAACTCGGCATTGTGGAGGGACACAGCAACGGGGATAGTCTTGGGGAGCAGGTAGAGCGGTGCGATGGTTCCGTGGTAATCGTTGATGTGGTAAAGATCGATGGGGAAACGGTTGGTTGCCTCGGCAATACATTGGTTCCTGAATTTATGTCAGTACGTGTTGAAAGCGATCAAATAAGGTTTTCAACTTACCATGCAGAGTAGTAGATGGCAGACTCCAAGTCGTCCATGCGAGGGGGGTAGGGCTCAGACTTCGTCTGTTTGCGGAAAACAGGAGCGTCCAGCAGAACATAGGTGATGTTATCGACAATGTGGTACTGAACCTTGATCTCGTACATCTGGTCCATAATCTTGACGAACATGCTAGGGGCAGGCTGGTCCTCGGGATACTCGACATCACCGACGCAGGGAACGACCCAAACGAGGTCCTGGTGCTTGAGCGCCTTACCCATCAACTGGGCCATGACACCCAGACCACCAATCTTAATCTTGATGTTCCAGTCATCGATGTTGTACTCCATGGTGGCAATCAACACTCTGCGACGCTTGTTGGCGGTGGTGGCAGCCGCGGCCGCAGAAACGAGGTCGGTGGAGCTGTTCATCTTGAGCGGAATGGCGCCAGCGGCGCCGATGAAAACGTTGCGGGTCTTCTCGACAATCTGACCAAACTTGGACTGGGCACCAACACCGGTTTCGTTGAACTTGACCTGGTAGAAAGAGCGCTTGAAGGCTTGGACGGCAGCGAGACCACCAACGACGGGGAGGATGAAGAGCAGGAGCCAGAGGAAGAACTGTACCCACATGCTGCCAACGGGGATGAGCTGGTACTGGAACGTGGCGTCGTTGAGAATGACCTTGTAAGCGAGGTACGGTTTGGGCGGCGCGGAAGTGATATTAATGGCGTTCGTGAACAGCGAGGAGGGAGGTATACGTTCAGCGACGCCGTCGCCGTCGACGTCACCGTAGACGAACGACTGATCGGGCATCTTGTCGGGGTTCATGCCCCAGATGCTGAACTGGAAGTAGTTGGGCCACTCATCCATATAATGCCACTGCCAAAGCGACTCAGCCTTGTGCGACAAGGCCTTGGTCAGACCGCTATCATAACCGAACTGGTTGAACTTGCCAACGGCGAACATGTGCGGGATGCGGCGGGGAATGTCGAAGTCGAGATCAGCGTGGACCTTGTAGGCGCTGGTGCCGAGGATCTGGGACCAGTACTGAACGATGATGTGCTCTCCATCCCACTCTTGCTCCTTGGTTCCGTTCCACTCCT